TTTTTTTTTTTTTTGAGAATGAAGAGAGGAAGTAGTAGGGCGAGGAGAAAGGAAGTTGAAAGGAAATGGTAAGAAGATAAAGGTTGTTAACTGAAAACGGTGAACAGCTTTAAAATGTGACTTTATAAGAATCCTCCTTCTTAGCAAACAGTCATTGCAGTAAATGATTTTAATATACCCTCTTAAACTGTCATACTTAATTTTTGCTGAGTCATGTAACTGTTGTGGTTCTTCAGAAACGTTATAAAGATGTAGCTTAAAGCATGAGCAATATTAATCACTATGCTTTCATTACTGATACATTTGTCACTATGGTCCTTTTGCAATTTTGATCTTAGATACATCTTTGATCTGCTAGATACCGTTGCTAAGCGTCAGTTTTTGTAGCCAAAAAAAATTTTTTTTGGCGCTTTAGCAAAATCACTTTTATACATTAGTAGTGACAATATTCTTTTTTTTGGTAACCGTCGCTGAAATTGAAATAGTTCATTCCACTCGTTCCACTTTTTCTTGTACTCTTATGACTGTTGTAAGGTAAATCGTCTGTTTGACGCTTGATTTTAGCAATTTAATCAGGCTTCTCAGATGTAATCTTATTAATATCACAGTCGTATGCTCTGAAATTGTAGAAAAAGGCAGCGAAACACGAGAAGATCCAAAAAAAAGAAAGTATTTTTTTGGTTTATTCAGTTCTTCGATTTTCTTCTTTTTTTTTTACACTTAGACGGAATTATTGTTGTTGCGATAACAGAGAAACAGTCAGATGTTTAAAGATATTCTAAGTCAGTGAGGTTTGACTGAATAAACCGTAAAAAGTTTGAGATATTTGACTATGTTAGAATAATAAAGACCTTCTCATTAGATAATTTTACTTAGCTCTTTTTCTTCGAATATACTGTTCCAATTGATTGTCAATTTAGACACTAGCACCAAATTGAGTAAAAACAACTTTACCACTTCCCTCCAACCATAATATAAAATATCTTTTTTTTTTTTTTAGGTTATATATCAAGAAGTTGTCACTAAACTTCTTCATCTGTTAAATAGCTGTGCAAAAATTTTGCCAACAAAGTATCTGGATGCTTCTTTCGTAAAACTGACAGTGCTTTATGATGCCTGGTTATTTAGGATAGCGTTACGAACAGCTAAAATAGACTGATGAAATAATGAATATTTCATTGTAACATCGTTGATAGCAACAGTTTATGCATATTTATCCGTAACCACGAAAAACACAATTCTTAATATACAATACATATTATCTATGTTTGTTTAATTCAAAAGTCAAAAAAGAACAAAAAGCTTTTTTGTTTTGTTTAGTTTTATTTTTATTTACTTCTTTAAAACAATAGCTTATTAGTGAGGATATTAATTGAACAATGCAGAATCGCTTCAAAAGTTGCCGCTATTTTACTGATGCCTATCAACTATTAGCAGTTAAATAAACGATGTCAAAAAGCAATTTTTTTTCTTAAGCAGTGTTTTTTGTTTGTCTAACAGTTGTACTTTAATACTTGGTCTCTGAATCAGATGATAAATGGCATTTGCTAGTCATTTTGGTTGATAATCTTAATGTATTATTTTTATGCTTTATTCGGGTTTTAAGTAAGTCATCTATCGGTTTAGGTAAGAATCATTTTTGTGTCATCTTATCCGATTTTCTATGGTTTTGTTTGTACCGTTAGAAATTTTGGTTAAGCGACACTTCTGTTTTCTGTCTTTTAATAGAACAGGCAATTGACAGGAAGTGTATCAGACAGTAATGAACCGGGTTCTCCCACCGATACACGCACATCTACCAAGACGTCCGGCAGCACGTCATCAACAACTTCCTCTTTTATCACAGTTTTCTGACAAACCTCGTATGCAACTTTTTCTTTTTCTTCTCCACCACACTGTTTCTGATTACTGGAAAAGATGTATGCATTAAATTTTTGAGCTTAGCGAGTAACAGACAAAACTTTTTATACAATTTTTAATCAGAAATAAAAGGAAATATTTGATTATGAAAATTTGAAAGTAAAAAATTCAAGAAAAAACTGACCTAAAACGGAAATAAATTGTAATTTTTAATTTTTTCAACAGTATCTCAGATTACTTCATCAAACTCCAGCAGTCAACTATGACTAACCGAGTGTTATGAT